GTATATACTTAACTAAAGATTAAATTTCAACTTGTATCATTTAGATAAAAAATATATTAACTATAAGTTTGATTGAAGAGATGGACTGTGGCTAGCAGTGGAATTCAGGATGCTCCTCCCATCTTATTTTGGACTTTAAAGCAATTAGTCCCTTTTATAAAGTTCCATAGAGCAATGAGAAGACGGAGTTGATTTGATCAACTTCATCATCTCATTACTTTATCTGAGACTCTTCTAAAAAAACTTGTGACAAAATTATTGAATCAAAGCGATCATCACAGGATGCACACATGATAACTAAGATTGATCAAAATTCAGTGAAAATATCAGCAATAGGATAACTAAGAGGGACTTTTTGATTCATTTACAGAAATTACCTTTACAAATTAAAAAAAAATCTAATCAAATAACAATGTTAGTAACCATTCCTTCTTTTACAGGAAACCTATTCACTTCATACATAAAGTCAGTCTACTAATATACTACAATATACTACACAAAAAGAATGTTAATAATAGAATTGAATTAGTCCTAATGATCATAAAAAAACTATTCTTTGTGAAATATGTGATATAATGAAAGCATAAATTAAAACTATCCTACGTAACTGATTATTTTCAGAAGATTAGAACAATTGGTAAAGGTGGAATTTACTATATATTCAATACTACATTAACTTAATCAATCCCTTTAAAGTCTTTATCATGTTCAATGCTTTAGGAAACAAATAATTTTAATAGGTATTTATTATAGTAAAAACCATGAGTCAATTGAAGCCAGACCACCATGGAAAACTTGGAAACACTGGACGGCCGTTTCGTCCTATTATGGGACTCCTCAGCAGTGCGAATTCACGAACCCGCTCGAACCCAGGACCTACCAGTCTCGAGCCGAAGCTCTTAACCGATAGACCACTGAGCTGGCATCTAGCTGGTCTAGCTTCAATTGACTCACGCTTTCAACTATAATAAATACTAAATCTCCACAAAACCCCTTCTATAATTTTAATAGGTGTTATAACGTGTGAGTGTGCACATGCCCAGTTAGTTTATATAACGTTATAAGACCGCCAATCAGAGAGCAGCGAATTATCGATTGGGACAGTGACACACAAAAACCATATGAGCAGTCTAGAGTGCGTATCGGTCCTGCGATCTGCCTAGCCCAGTCAATTAAGTCCACAACACCAATAACAGCCTCTACAATATGAATCGTTATTCTTAAACATACTCGGTTTATATACCAAACAAACAGACCACAACGTACCATAAATTAGAAAATAACATTTGTACAAGATTTGGTCAAATGTCGCTGTGAATGTGAGGAACAGTAATCAATAGACTGGGGATAATAGAAGAATGGTGGATCGTATAGTAATAGTTCATAAGTCATAATAAAGCTTATGATAAGAGGAACACGAATATGATTAGGTTAGTTACATAACCATTATACAATAGGAAATATACATATCATATTCGTCCATAAATAGTCCTCAAAAGTTACCAATCACAATTCGCTTTGGGATACAACAATAGGTAAACAATCCAAATGACTTGTATGGTGTAATCTGAAGATAGAATGTTTAATCCAGTTTAAATAAATATATCTTTGTATCACTTGGTCTGAAGTGGTCTAAACTATAGTATCTATCTTGGTGGAGATTTCAATTTCTTAATTTTGAGGAGTCTTAACCAGGACTCATAAAAGGGGGTCTAAACCTGAATACTTAGGTCTTGAGAAAAAATTAGTTTAAATCCTTAATTTCCAAGCTTAAACCTTGTAAGCCATTTACAGGTTTTAAAAGAAAAGACATGAGGTATTTCCTGGATTTTCAGTGGAGTTCAACCACGTCTAATGTGATATATCAACTCATTGAAGACAATTGGTGAACGGTTGGTCAACTTCGTGGATTAGTTGAAGTTAGACATTAACACCATCGGATGCCGGTTCATTGGTCTATTGGTTAAGTACTCTGGCGCAGAACTGGTTGGTCCTGGATTCGAATCTCTCGAGGCGAGGTCGTGGATGCGCACTGCTGAGAAGTTCCATAATAGGACGAGGCGGTCGTTCAGTGCTTACAGGTTTTTCATGGTGATCTAGCTTCAATTGACTCACGCTTTCAACCAAAAAAATACTGAATCTCCATAAAAACCTCCTTCTGATAATTAAATTTGATTAACACATAAATAATGAAACAAATTGACAGCTTTGTAAAGGAATCAAAATGTCTCATTTTTTTCGTCTTGATGAAATTCTATATTGTTAGTATGTTTTTGGATAAAAACTATTTTTCTAAATTTTGGAAAGAATTGACCACTCTTTCTCATCTTTGAAACATCCTACACAATGTTAAAAACCATAAAATGTATTCATAAAAACAACTGTTATGCAGTTTTAAAATAAATTGCAAGCATTATAAACAAAGATGGATGATGGCTAACAGTGAAATCCAGCACACGCGTTTCGTCCTATTTTAGACTCGTCAGCTGGATATATTTGAATCTTAGAGTTGATATTCACCACGTGACTCGAACATAGTTCTATTCAAATGATATAGGACGAGACGAACGTCTTGAATTCCACTGCTAACCACTATCCATCTTTATAAAGCTTGTGATTTAAATCAATATCGAGGCAATCCGCACAGAATGTACATATGCCAACAAAATACTGATCAACTCCAGTCCTAAATAATAATGGGAATATATAAGCAAACAATATCAATTGAATTTAACCTGCAGGCATTTCCCTCTATCTAAATCACTATGTACTGATGTTTCTTTATAACCTTAATTATAGTTTAATAATTTTATTAATCATATATAGAAAGAATAAAACAACGTGTAAATTTAATGGTTTTGAAAAAAACCTATGAGAATTGAACAAGAAAATTTTCAATTCGTATTGTTTGTTTGACTCTTCTCATTGATATTTTAGGACTACAACTGGTCAGTCTTTTATTAGCCATATGTGCATACAGTGAATTTTATTATTTATTTATTTATTTAAACACATAAATATTGGTACAAGGAAGCACCAGATATATATGTGCCACACAAATCTCATCCGATTTGTGTGAGGGCTGTGATACTGCTCAGGTGCCCAGACTGAAGCAGGTGGTTTATTTAGGGGGCCATACCCGGAGCCTTCGACCTAAAGGTCTTGTCCACAAGGCAGTGGAACATCGTGAGGAGATGCAGTCCTATGGTAGTCGGTGACCAACAGTTGGTTCATACGATATTCATTCCTTCAGGATACTGGAGCCCATGTGCACCATTGGTTTGGAATCAGGGTTTTCAAACTCCCCTAGGTGGATCCTCCACATCCACTAACCCGGTTAAAGCGCCTGACATTCGCTTTTCGTTCTCTCACTTTTGTGAACAGCACCCCACCACGAGAAAACAGTGAGTAGGACTTCCCTGACAGAGGCTATATATTCGCATGGGCTTATGAGAGCATTTGGTGAGGGAGAGCAGACTCTCCTCACTCTCGGCTGCATCAGGGCATTTGGGGGCATACAGTGAATATTGCCTCGATATAGCCTCAATTCACAAGCAATATAATCAAAGATCGATAGTGGCTAGCAATGGAATCTAGGACGCGTGTTTCGTTCTATTCGGGATTCGTCAGCTTGATGTACCTGCATCTCAGTGTTGGTGTTCACTGTAGGACTTGAACCCATGTAATTCATCAATTGAATAGTTTGTAAGTTTTCGTTAATAATTTTATTAATGAATCAATGTTATTTAGAATAATAATTGAGAAAGAATACTAGGAACTATTAAAATTGAAGATCTATTCTGTTAAATTTATACACATTAAAACAAAATAAATACTTACTATTCACTGATAACCTAAACAGAAATCAATCTACAAGTCAAAAACATTGAAAAAGTTCAGTATAGTTACAAACTTCCGCAGTTCTTAAAATAACCATATCCCTTTGAATACACTTTACACCCAAGGAATACAAAATATGTGTAAGTAATGAAACCTACTAAGTTTCAGTAGTTAACTGATTTTTTTCAAAATTTATTATCTGTTTTCTGTTCTAAATACGGTTGAAATATCTCTACATGACCTTGTTAATTTGAGTAGGCATGTATTCACGCTCAATTTATCTTTCTGAATTTTTTTTTGTAATATACTGCGAAATATATGGCGATCAAATCACACGAGAACCTTCATTGTTGTTATATCAATGTGAATTAGTCATAAGTGAAAATATTTATTCAATGTAATACTGGTAAGTCCTGGGTTCGAATTTCGCGAGGCGAGATCATGGATGTGCACTGCTGAGGAGTCTCACAGTTAGACGAAACGGCCTTCCAGTGTTTCCAGGTTTCTTAGGTGGTCTAGTTTCAACTGACTTATAATCTCAACTATGTTAATACTTCTACTTTACCAATGAATCTAATAATAATAAAATGACTGTTATGTGAGGTTCCCATAGAAAAAAAAGACAATAAACTGTAACAATTAATTAATATATTTGTAATATCCTAATGAGTAGAAAAATTAGATTTTCTGATGTTTCATTGTCTTTGCAAAATACTCAACATTCACTGGCCAAATACCATCAGCAACAGCCTACTTTGGGGAAGACAAACCAGGTGGTAGCTGAAGAAGAAGTTAGTAATAAACGTTGGAAGTGGATCGCACAAATATTGAGGAAATCGCTAATGTACATCACGAGGCCATCCCTAACTTGGAATCCGGAAAGGAAGAGGAAAAGAAGAATGCCAAAAAACACATTACGCCAAGAAATAGAAGCAGATATGAAAAGGATGAATAACAACTGGAAAGAACCGAAAAGGATTGCCCAGGACAGAGTTGGATGGAGGAAGTTGGCGAGCGGCTTATACTCCTCAACTAGGGGTAACAGGCGTAAGTAAGTAAGTGACGTTTCGTCACTCAATGTAAATCACTTCTTCAAAAAAATAAAACTATGAATAAACTATAACAACAAAAACAAAAATCTTTAAAAAATTTAAACTTACCTAAAATTACTACAAGGATGTATAATCCAATCACCTTGTTGTTCTTGTCTTAATCTTTCTCTATCTAATGCTAATTTAGTACCAAATAATTTCATAGCTAATTTATTACCAGTTGGTTGAAAAAATGCAAAAAATTGTTCTTTTAAATGAAATGAACTACTATTTGGTTTATTATCATCTTGACTTAATAAACTATTTATATCATAATCAGTTGAATCACTTAATTCATTCTTAATACGTTTATCAATTACATTATCATTTAATAATAAATGTCCTTTATGTAAACCTTTTTCATGTTTAAATTCATTTATGAAATCATGATCTGTTTGTAGAATAACACTACGTGTTCGTAGATTTTTTCCATTATTATTACTACTACTATTATTATTATTATAAGTAGTAGTATAAGTAGTAGTATTAGTAGTAGTAGTAGTATTTGAAGTAGTTTGTATTGAATCAATACAATTTGTGACAGAATTCCAACTTGATACAGTATGATCAGATTTTAAATTCATATTTGTACGTGAACAATGATGTTTATAATTAACAGATGATGAATGACCAATAGTTTTAGTTAAACGAAAACTAGCAGCTAAACGTTTTAATGGTCTATTAATTGAATGTGATGTTTGCCGAGCTAAATTTTTTAATGATTTTGGATTTTGTTTTGTAGTAACTATAATATTCTTATTTGATGATGGTATACGAGTGAATTGAGTACAATTAGATAGATTAGTAGTACTATTCAATATTAGATTATTAGAATGATATGATGTCATAGGTATTGGTGATTTATCTCTTTTATATAATAATACACTATCATGAATTGTATCATCAAAACTATGAGTATAAAGTGTACTAAATTTACGATCAGTACGACGTTCTTTACATTCATCATGATATTTTGATGATGGTATATTTAATCTATTCACATTGAATGCACTATCAGTAGATAAATTTCTATGATATAATTGTTGAACTGATAATGAATTTAGTTTACTATCAATATTAGATAAATCAGAATGATTTGTAAAAAAATCTAATGGTAAATCAGTTAATGCTGTACGTGATTCTCTAGCACTAGCAGCTAATACAGCACGAACTGTTGCTTGTGTAAATTTTTGATCTTCTTCACTTAAACTATGTGGTGTATTAAAACAACTTGATCTATGTAATGATTTTGACCAATCAGCTGAATGAGTTGATGCAACTGTATCATTCATTTGTTCATATATAGATGGAATTCTTAAATAACTTGAAAATGCTGATGCAGTATGTGATAATGATGTTGTAGGATATAAATGATGTGTAACATTTAATGTTTGATCAGAATGTACACTTGATTGTCTTCGAACATCTTCATTTGATATTGTATTTAATTTAGAATTAGATATTTGTAAATTATTTATAATTAAATCACCTTTAGTTGAATTATTAACTTCATTTGACTTTTGTTTTGATGATATTGCATTTTGAGAAGAAGAAGAAGAAGAAGCACATGGATGATCTTGGATACATTCAATTTCATTATCATCTTTGGATAGTTCATTAGTAGGTTTTAGTAGGTTTACATTAAATTGTTCCATTTCATATTCATTGATTTACACTTGATCTTGTAAAATCTTTACTGTTGTCATGGATACTGTTATTGGATGAATATAATTGATTCTTGATAAAAATATGATGAAAATAGGATTCTTATTTGGAAGACATTCAAACAAAGTATAGTAACCATCTATAATCAGAGATAGAATTATGGTAAAATATTAAAATTATTTACTATTATTTTATTAAATAATCCTTCAAATTATTCAATTGTGATTGGTTAATTTCATATTTTTAATTTCGAATAATCTGATTGGTTGAAATAATATTGGAGAAATACTATTTGTAGTGAAGTTTGAACAACCGTTCACCAATTGTCTTCAGTGAGTTGATATCTCTATAACAGACGTGGTTGAACTCCACTAATCACTGGTACTAATTAGAATTCCAGGAAATATCTATTGAAGTCAGTCACTAGTTAGTATACTATTTGTAGTGAATTATTGTTAAAATTCAAAAAAAGAATATTGTATTAATTGTAATATAAACATTTTGATGAATTGTAGAAATTAGACACTTGATTATTTATTTTAGTCAAAACTTATTATATTGATTAAATGATTAATGAAAATATAATTTTGCAAAAAGGGGTTTTGTGGAGATTTTAGTAACTTTTTTATATAATTGAGATCATGAGTCAATTGAAGCTAGACCATCACTAGCGACTGGCTTCATGAGATATCTCCTGGAATTACAGTGAGAGTTCAACCACGTCTGTTGTGAGATAACAACTCACTGAAGATAATTGGTGATCGATCGCTCAACTTCGTGGATTGGTTGAAGTTAGACATTAATACCTTTGGATGCCGGCCGGCTAAGTGGTCTATCGGTTAAGTGTTCTGGTGCGAGACTGGTAGGTCCTAGGTTCGAATCTCGCGAGGAATGATCGTGGATGCACACTTCTGAGGAGTACCATAACAAGGAAGAAACAGCCGTCCAGTGCTTACAGGTTATCCATGGTTGTCTAGCTTCAATTGACTCATGATCTCAACTATATAAAGAAAATATAATATATTATGAAATATATTATGGTTTATGCTACTTATATTAGCAGATATAAGTAGTATATAGCACCAATCAGAAGTAGAATGCCTGTTAGAAGAAAGTTGAGAAGATTGAAATGAAGAGTAGAAATAAGTGAACTGTTAGTAATCAAGATAACAACACGAAGTTTGTAGAAAAACAAACAGTTCAAAGAAGATACGCAAATTATGTATTTTTGAAAGTATTCTGTAATTATGCATTTAAACAATAATTTAGTCTTTTACACTTTAGTCTTCATTCACTAGAATATAACCAATTACGTAACATAAAAGTTGAAAATGACTAAATATCAGTTATTACTTTAAAAAAAAAACGTTTCCACAATCAATTTCACATTACCGGTTTAAAAAGATATTTATATTGTTCAAATTTGTTCAAAAGTAATCTATTTAACTATTACTGAATAGAGCACTAATGAGCACTAATAATAATAGAATGTAAAGTTGAAATAACTACCATCTCTTTGATCACACTATTTTACACATTTGAAAGTATAATAATGACTTAATTGATATAATCTTTCATTCATTACTTTAGACTACATTAATTATTACCAGCTTCTATTTTGTAATATGAAATGAAAGAGATGTTTAGTTTTTAAAGAAATAACTTTTGTATCTGTGGAATATTTTGGGATTTCAATAGGAAATCCAAAGATTGGATGACACAATTAAGAACAGCACTATCAGCAATAAACTACTGTGGAAGAGAATAATCCAGGTTCCAGTGGAGAAAGAATTCAGGAAGAAATTCTGGAAGTGGATAGGACACACATTGAGGAAATCATCAAAATGTGTCACAAGACAAGCCGTCACATGAAATCCTTAAGGCTAAAGGAAAAGAGGAAGATCAAAGAACACATTACGCCGAGAAGTGGAGATAGATATGAGAAGAATGAACAACAATTAGATAGAACTAGAAAAGAAGGCCCAGGACAGAGTGTGTTGGAGAATGCTGGTAGGCGGCCTATGCTCTATTTGGAGTAAAAGGCGTATGTAAGTAAGTAATTAAGAAGAGGAAGACGACAGATGAAGGTTTATTTGACATCTAAAATGAATCAAAATGATTCATGAATACACTAATTTTTAAATGTTTTACTCAACCTGATTATTAGTCAGTTTTATATTAATTATACTGAGTAATATTTGATATTAAATGATCAATAGCTAACTGTGGGAACACATATGATATCATAAAATTAACTTTCTGTAACCAACGGCCGCAACTAAATGACTAATTTATATAATCATTCATTAAGATTTCATCGTATGAATGGACAAAATCAACTTCATTTGTCACTTACACTTCAATCAAACAAGTCCTTATTCATTATATCCATAACCCTGGTAGAAGGTTACTTCATTCGAAGTAAACTTCACAATGCTTGATAAATTTTGATTTATATTGCTACATAGTATGAGTATTTCTATAAACCATACTTTCATTACCATTTTCTTATAATCACAGGCTCAGAGTAATCATTTACCTACTTACTTACTTACTTACTTAATTACTCCTGTTACTCTCAATGGAGCATAGGCCCTTTCGTGGTTAGCGTTTTTTTAACGAGTTGGTTTTCTACGAGATGTGGTCACTAAACCCATGCTCAACCGTCCTCCTTTATCCGGGCTTGAGACCGGCAGTATCCCCCGGAGGAGCTACAGGCGGAGTTAAGAGTAATCATTGGGTATTACTGATTTCTAATAAAACAATAGGTGATTAAGTATATGGAAAAGCAATAACCATTGTTGTCAAAATGATTTCTGTCTAATTCGGTCCGTTTCTTTATTTTCATATTGATCTATATGTTCATATTACAATTTACTTTGCTTAAATTTTCTCTTCCCACAATACTACTGTGGTGTGTGCTATTGATGCTGTCAGGTATAAGTAATATATATCACCACTCAAAAGTGGAATGTTTGGCGGTGGAAGGTTAAGAAAGTCGACAAGAAGAGAACGAGAACAGAGAGTGATTTGTATGGAAACGGAGGAACAACAAAATTTAAGACAATTGATGAATCTTTTGCAAATGAAGTATTTCCTGTATGATTCTCAGATTTTATCAAGATATTATGTGATGTTATATTAAGGTACATTTGGTTGTCTCCACCTGTGTTCCCATTCACTACAATACTTTTTAACTTTTTCCATTTGAATAGTTAGTTTATTTACTATGACAGAAATAATGACTGTTTTTTTCTATTTTCAGAACTTACGAAAATATAAACCAGATACTCTGTTGATGATCAGTGTAGTTAATTACATTTACATAATGTAGGTTTGTTTTATCTTATTTAAGATGAACAAAATGGGTTTTTTTTGCACAATTTAATCATGTCAGTCATGACCATCTTAACAGAGAAAAAAGTGTATAAACAACAATTTCAAAATTATCCAACCATAATGATTGATTAGTCTGTTATTATGAAGTTTTGCAGAAATTTTACTTCACTGAAAGATAATTAACGAGACCCTAGAGGGACAATGAATTTAAATATTTTTTCAAAAAACCTTAAATTAGTTGGTTGGAGGTACTCAGAAAGAATTCCTGGATTTAAGTTACATGCTAGTTGACCCTAATCAGTAAGTTATAACTAAAAACTTGGGAAAACTGATACAGTCTACGGGATTTGAAGCGATATCAGCTGACATTTTAATGTGCTGTATGTGATAGTGAGTCATCGAGACTAGTCACAATTGATTGATCACTAGGTGGTGATCAATGTCATGCGTGTCAAGTTCTCCTTAGTGCTGATCGAGTGCTATCGATCAAGTTGCAATGTGGCCACTAGTCTAGGTGGTTTGACACTGTGTGTACTATGTTGAGATAAGATGGTGGTTGGAGGTTGTCAACAGAATATCCTGGACCCGGGTTTCGTGATCAATCAATTATGATTACATCTCAGGCCTACAAGAGGTCGGTTGCGGCCCAAATAGCTTAGTGGTAATGTCTCTAACTGTGAAGCTGAGTGACACAGTATCGAATCCATCAGGGGGCACCAGTTCCCTCAAGATTACAAGTACACCTTACTGACGAAACCCGGGTCCAGGGCTTCCTGTCGACCACCTCCATCCACCATCTCATCCAGACTAGTGTCCAGAGTACAACTTCATTGACAGAACTCGATTTGTAGTAAAGAGCAGACGAATATGACATTGCTTGCTAATCAATGATGTGTTAAAATTTAATTCATGTAGTTGCCTTTCAATAATAGTATCAATCTTATAAACTTGCATAACTATAACATATTATTAGAATACGATTGTGAAGATTGCTGAGTTTTAATAGAGACCAGGAACCGATCGATTTTAGACCACCATCGGAAACTTGGAGGCACTGGACGACAGTCTCGTTCCAGTGTGGGACTCCTCAGTAGTGCGCATTCATGATGGCACACGCGCAATGCATACCCAATACCTTCGGTCTCACGTTAACACTTTAACTCTAGACCACTAAGCCGACATGCAATGGTATCAATGTCTGACTTCAACCTACGTATCGGCTCATGATCTCGATCATAGCATATTAGTCTTTTATATTTCGAAAATAAGCAGTATATTTCAGCTTCTCTAGGCTTATTTTTAAGTAAACGTGTGGTAAAATCAGATAAAAATTATACTGAAGGTTTGACTGGACATTTGTCAAGTATTATTCTATCAAATAGAAGCTATTCATACTTAGATTCTTTCCAGCCCCACCGTTTTGTAAAGTGTATAATTGTAAATTATTATCAATAATATGACAAATTGGTACAATAAACTTTTATGAACTTAAACAAATTTCCCCCATTCTTTCCCCCCCCCTCGAATTTTCCCATTTCCCCATAAATATTTTTATATTATGATTATTTAGGCACTAGATATCAATCTACTGCATTTATTGAATAACCTCAATGTTTCTCTCACTACTGATTGGTTCATTTTCTTGATGACCTTCTAGATTGGACTAACTTCTCTACTTCCACCATATATATGTTAAATGTTTACCTCAGATTTGATGTTTTCTTAAAATAAATAGACTTTTTCACTCGATATCAACGAAAGAGGTCAAGTTCAAATTAGTTATTTGGAATATATCCTGTTTGTTTGTTTTTTCTGAAACTTATTCTGATTTAA